TAAATTTAATGCACTTCGCTCAGCTACCCCGTGCACAATGTTAACGCACGGGGCCCTACGTTGGATATTGAGGATATTAGTGACTACGCTTCCAGCGTGTTCCGCCTTAACAAAGAGGAGCAGCCCCATCGCTTCATGCTATTTCCTCGGACAGGCGATGGATGTCGGTGCCAATCTCGGTCCCTGTCCCATACTCATGTGAGGCCATTTCACAGCGAAAACAAACAGGACTCAGTGTCTGTATAAAGGCACACAATTATTGTGCAAAGGAACTAAAACTTTTGAGGCAATTTTATGAATTCTAGAAATGTAAATTTTTACAGTGTATAGAGTGTTTCGAGGCGACGCGAAAGTCAACACTCGGTGTCTTCATAAAGGCACGAAAGTATTGATTTTGTTTTTCAAGTTTCCCAATCCCAACAGTTGTTAAATGCGTTTCTTTTCCTCTCTGCTGCAGTCAGCCGGGGCGGCGCGGCCGGCGCGTGGTGGACGGCGGACTTCGTGTGGACGGCGGTGCAGGCGCTGGGCATCGGGCTGGTCGGCGTGCTGGGCGTGGTGGTGAACGTGCTGTGCGCGCTCATCTGGAGCGGGCGGCCCGCGCTGCGCAGCCACTCGACGCGCTACGTGTACAACATGCTGGCCGCCAACCTGCTGTGCGCCGCGCTGCTCGCGCCCCTGGACGTGGTGGTGCTGCTGGTGGCGCCGCCGCTGCCGCCGCCGCCGCCGGACCTGCAGGCGGCCGCCGACCTGCTGTGGCCGAGCGCCGCCGTGGCCGCCGCCGCCGACCCCCAGGTGAGTTGCCCCCCCGCGCAGGTCCCCTCCGCCGTTTGTCCTCATCACCGCCCAGTCGCGACGGGACGTCTCTCTCTAGCGTCCTCCCGTGACCCGGCACACGGCAAAAACGCCCGCTTGGAAAGTACCCCTTGGGCTTCAAAGGCGAAAGCGCTCCTGACTAGTCTCGGTTTTACTGCACACATGACGAGACGAGTGGGTGGGGTGAGGTCGACTTTTACACAAATCCCCTACCGCATTTCAGACTAAGCCGTTAGTCATTTATACCAGACCGTACTTGTAAACTCTGTGGCATTTTTGCATACCAATGTTTTGGCCGAGGTGCCAAACAACTCCGGGAATCATGTGTACACCTGCCCTGGGAATCATCAGCATAAAAATTGATCGCGAAATCAACAGAAATCGCTGAAACTAAATGGGAAACTAGACGAACTGGTACAAATTAGCCGAAACAAGCGTTTTATACCACTAAAATCCCTAAGGAATGAATATAAGCGGACGGGAATCACTGGGAATCAAAAATTTGGGGAGTCATGTGCACACGTCAAAATGTAGTTATCGCCCCCTTGGTTTTGGCGTTACTTTTGAATGCCATAACTTTGCATCTTTAAACTCCACATTTTGACATCCCTCCAAAAAATAACTATTTTTGGTGTCTTTGAGTGCCAAATATTGGCGTTTCTTTTGATAGGAACGCAGCTTTCTGGCATTCAAAACGAAAGACTAAAATGTTGATAAATATTTATCTTTGTCTTTATAAAGACCCTAGAGTTTACCGTTGTGTACCGTTGTCATACTGCCCGGCGTGCGCGGAAGAGAGGTGGGTGGGAACAGCGTGGATCGTAGCCACTAGTCAACGACTCAGTTGAGCCGTGTACAGAGTATTATGGTATTATGTTTCGTTTTATACGGGTTGGGGTATATGAAGTGTCTTTTATTATATTATGGGGTGTTATGAAATTTTGTGTAGGTGGGTACCGGGTACCGTGTAAGCAGTTGCGAGTCGGTGACCTTTCGGCCGGCCGCCTGTTCCATTTTAGAGCTGAGGTCCTGGTGGGTAAACTACAGTAAACTGTGCTCCTAGCTGTGCGAACACCGCACGCCGGCGCCCGCCTTTCTACAAGAAAAGTAGTGTGTTCTTTTTAGCAGATGATACCTTGAAACACTTTAGATTTAACTTAAAAATTATACATAAATAATAATATCAAGGTATCAGCAGCTTTAACTCTCGATATGGTAAAAGAGTGAAAGCAAACTAAAGGAGAAGAGACCTAGCGCAAACCAGCAAACACAAACAGCATCAACAATAATTTTGGGCGCTGGGGGACTGGCTGTCGCGCTGAAGCCTTTTGCTTTCGCGTTATCCCCTCCCTTCAACAATACTACACCAGGCAGGGGAGTTCTGGGCTGGGACTGGGAGGCCCCATCCCTGCCCAACAATACTGGGCTACCGACGCCGGCCGCTCTGCCCGCCCCTTATCTTCCCCTCTACGCCGCTAGTCCGCCGAATTACAAGATTGCAAGTAACAAGCAGCCTTAAACAGCTCAATAGGAGAGAAAATTAGAAGACAGACCTATTCTTAAATCTTAAATTTGTATCATCTGCTTTCAAGATAGATTCTTGGTTTAGATTTTTTTAACATAAGGGCTATTTCAGAGCGGGCATCCGTCAGTGACGGCACGAAAACACACACTGTTGTAGGCGAATGAGAGGTCTACAAATTGTTGAGACGCATGAATGCACGCGTAGTCTCGAGACGCATCCACCGATACACTCGCTGTGTCTCCTGCATTAGCCATTCGGCAACAATTTGCAGCAAATAGTGTCGTCACTAACGGACACAAAACAAAACCCGATTTTACTCTGAAAACCTAATATTTAACGAATACTTCCCCGCGTCTCATTTTTACCCGCCCTGACCGGTCAGGGCTCTATCTCAAACTAACATTTTCTGTCAAATGCTTTCGAACGTCTACGCTATGAAATACTGTTTCGCCACGTTTTTGAAACATCCTTTCTTCCGGATTGTCGCAGGTGTCGGAGGGCGGCGGCGTGGCTGCGGCAGCGCTGGTGCAGGCCGCGGACGAGGTGTGGGGCCGGCCCTGGGAGCTGTGGCTGCGCGAGGTGACGCGCTTCGCCCAGAGCGTGGCCGTGCAAGTGTCGGTGTTCTCCGTGCTGCTGGTGGCGCTGGACCGCCACAAGGCCGTGCTCTCGCCGCTGCACTACCACCGCATGGCCACTCGCCAGCGCTCCACCATCCTCATCGTGTCCAACTGGCTGGTCACGCCGCTCATGACGCTTCTCTTCCAGACCAGGCTCGTCCCCTACTCGCAGTGGATCCACTTCGCCATAGGTCAGTGCACACGGCGACGCCCGCGCCCCTCCCCAGCAAGCGCACTTCTTATTTCAATGTCATTGCCAGATCACGCCCCATGAGAGCCCGCCGAAGGCAAGCTGTTCCTGTCACGCCGCGCGCCCGCGCGCCCCACGGCCCTACTCCACCCCACCCCACCCCACCGCGCTGTGCCCCGCAACGGAAGTGCGAGCACGACCTCGACCCTCTTTTTATTCTTCTTTTTTTTCTCATTTTTATTTTTTGCCCGTACGCTTGCGCTATTCCATTCCTTGCTGCCTCAATTGTGCAAAGTGAGTACTGAACCGTGGTGAGCAGAGTGGCGCGGGGCGGCGGTCGCGCGGGACTCTATTACGGCGCTGTGCGGACGCCGCCGTCACGCCCCCGTCACGTGTGCCGCTTGTGCGCCGCTATCACATCGATGCCCGCGAAGGAGAAGGACGGGGGGGGTGAGGGGGGTAAACGGCAGACAGCCTCACCGCCTCTGGGGCAATCCTGTTGGAAGGACAATATGGGCGGGGCTGCGCCGGGGCTGCGGGTAGCAGGTGTCTCGGATGCTGCGAGCAGGGGCTGTGCCATGCCCCGCGGGGCCAGGGTGGTGGCGCTGCCTGGAGCAGGGCGTGGCGTGGCGCGGAGCGTCGCGCTGGCCCGACGGGACGCAACCTTTCAAACCGTAATACACTCCCTTGTCCTCGCCCGCCCCGCGCCGCCCCCCGGCCTGACCCCAAAAAGGAAGTTTGCCGGCGCGCGGACATGGCGGGGACAAACTTGGCCCACATAGCCTGGGTCTGGGTGCGGCACGGCGAGGTGCCGA